AATTGTTATAAGGATTAAGATTTATCTTTCATTTTAGTCAACATATCTTGTATTTTTTTGTTAATAAATTATATCCTTACTATAATTAACATATTATATATGTATCCGTAATTAACATATAATGTGTGTTTTCAATTTATTTGTGAGTATATATAATATGTTAAAAATATATATCTTAACTGCGGACACTTAATTTGAATATCATGGACCAAGATCTACATGTAATGTGGACCCCGGTCCATGGTATAATTTGGCAAATTATATCATGTATCACGGTACATAATCGATTATGCACCGAGTTTCAAAATAACGTCGTTTTGTTTAATGAAAAAAAACAGCACACGTTTCGTGCCGTTCCGCAAAAAGTAACTCTGTTATTCAGTTTCATTTTGTAGCAGTTTCAGTTCAACACAACTACAGTTTCATTTCGATATAACTATACTTTCATTTGATATAACTATAGTATTTAATTTTATTTTATATACACTATAGTTTCATTAAAACACAACTATATGATCATTTTGATATAACTACAGCTTCATTGCACAATATACACTTAAATATGTTAAATGTTATTCAGTTTCATTTTATATGCACTGCAGTTTCATTTGACTACAACTACATTATCATTTTGATATAACTGCAGTTCCATTTGATAATATATAAAATAAATCGTGAGGTAGTGTCAATTTAGATACATTGTAGTTTCGGTTGGTAATTAACACACCAAAAAATGCGCGCTCCGCTAATGATAACGATGCACCGTTTTAACCCCGATGCACGTGCACTGTCCACGATACAACGACTGGTATAATTTGCCTTCAACTCATGTCATTAGCTAAGCCCAAGTGACTAACCCATGTCCTCAAATGAGTTAGGTTCATCGTCCTAGGCAAATTATTGTGTGGACCATCATCCATACAGTATTATGTGGACCATAACAAAAAATTATATATTTTAATATAGACTAAAAGCACATTATTTGTGTACTGATTGTACATTATACAAAATAATGTACTTTTAGTACTCAAATAATGCACTTTTCCTGAATACAATGTACATTTTTAATATACTAAAAATACATTATTTGTGTCCTAAATGTACATTATTTGATAGTATGATCTACATAATAATGATTGTGCAAATTATTGTATAGATCGTGGTCCAAACAAATGTGTGGACCACGGTCCAAAACGACATCGTTAAATTTTATGAGTTTGAATAATGTACATTATGAGTTAGAATAATATATTTTATGTTTTATAATAATATACATTATATGTTTAGAATAATGAAACTTCTAGGTAAGATACGGTACTTTATGATTTAGAATAATATAATGTACATTATGTATTCGAATAATGTACATTATGCATTCAAATAATGTACATTATGTATTAGAATAATGTACATTATGTGTTATAAAAATGTTACATTGCATCGAATGAAAAAAAATTACAAAAACGACGTCATTTTTGAACTGTGATTCACACAGCTATGTGAACTATACTCCGCGTAATAACTAGTGAATGGCCTATGTCCACGTCATCCTCTGGCATCCTCGGATTGATGTACTCAAATAGTGATCATTGCTGGCATTTAATGCGGCATTATGTAACCGCTTTCGATAATAACTTATAATGAAATTAACTATTAGCCGTTACTATGTAATCCATCATTAGAAATTACATTTCTTGGAGTTGACACTGGAACACTTGACTAAGGTATTCAAACAAGAACTTTCGTAGTCTTTGTATGTAGAAATCAGTGAGGGTGCTTGTCTTCATCCTACGTCATCTACTAATTAAGCCCAAGTATTAAACACATCCTCGGTTAAGCGTTGGCGATCAGGCGATCGACCAATCATTACTGTCCACAGAGAGTTGTGTAAATCATATTTTTAAATAATGTACATTCAATATACAAATAATGTATTTTTAGTATAATAAAAATATATATTGTATTAAGAGAAAGTACATTATTTGAGTACTAAAAATACATTATTTTGTATAATATACATTCAGTAATATACAAATAATGTACTCTTAATATATTCAAAATGTATTTTTTTTATTATAGTTTTTTTTTTTTTATTATGGTCCACACAATAATTTACCTCAGTCAACGGTGTCCTTAGACGGGCTAGAAACATCGTCCTTAGCCCACATCATAATTCGACATCCTCGGATTAATATACTCAAACAGAGAACGTTGTTGGCATTAGATGAGTCATTATGTAACTGATTTTGGTAATAATCTTTTAATTATAATTGCAATGAAACTAATTATTAGCCGTTACAATGTGATTAATGATTAGGAATTATAGAAATTTGATCTCGTAGGGTGACAAGGAAACACTTCATCAAAATATTGATGCATATAATACACATTTTTCAAAATTTTTATAATTTTCTTTACCAAGTAAAGAAGATATTGAAATCAGAACTTTTAAATTACAAGAAGATTTCAAATTACTCCTGATATTTTTTAGAGAAACTCACCAATTGTGTAACTTGAGTACGTGATTTGTTTAGAAAAATTTCCTCATGAATTGGGTAGAAGAATAGTAAAATATTATGTAAGTTTACAATTGAAACTAGTTTTATCCATGTTAGGAATATTGTGTAAAAATATTAAAGGAACAGTTAGATCTCCTGTTGAGATAGTAAAATCATATAGGTTCTCTAAAACTTGAAGAAGGACTAGAGTATACATTCTTATTTTTCACTACTGTCATAAAGCGATGACATATACATCCAGAGTCCTACTACTATTTTTACACTTGAATCTCATCTATGGAATTTTAATTTATCTTCTCAAGGACTGGAATTTATCTACTTTGGAAAATCACTATCTAATTGCATTGAGAAGTTGCATGATATTTAATTTTCAATTTGTGAGAAAAGAGAAGTTGTTGAGAGGTTATGTGCATGAGATTGCATAAATAGATTTGTTGCATAAGAAAGAAGTGCATGATTTATATCTATATGTATCTAGTGTTAGTAATCCGGGATTTTGGAGGCCCGTTTGGACTATGTCCTTTCGGAAGAAAAAAGAAAGAAAGAAAGTTGAGAAAGAAACCGACATTGCGATCCGATGTGAAGTAACGAGGTCGATATTCCCGAGTTACTATGTTGGATACTACCCACCGGGCTTGGAATCCCGGTCAGAGGGTGTGCACACTGACAAGTACGATACCTAATTCCACAGAGTTTGAGAAAAGAACCAAGAGAGTGGTTCTGTGGGCGAGATGAGTATTAGGCCGGCTAGATGCCGAGCCTAGATAGGTCCGTTCACATTATAGTGAAGTTCCTACCTCGCCCACGAGTAAAAGTAAAGAAAGAAAGAAAGAAAGAGAGTCTATCTATGTGACTCAAGAGAAAGAAGAGAAAAGCGAGTCGTTGTGATTCTAAGAAACCTCCACCGAACAAGTGTTCCTTCTTACAAAAGAAAGATTGTATATATATGTATATCTATCTATACTTATGCTAAAGCACCATGTTATTTTATTGCATGATTATATGATTTGCATGTGTTGCATGAAAGTATGAGAAGAAACATGACTTTATATTGTCATTTGTTGATTATCTTGATAGCATGAGATTGCTTGTTAAAGTTTAAGTATATTTGTATCCATCAGTTGAGCATGAGTAATGTATTTCGCCTTGATAAGTTATATATGTGAAAACATGAGATTGTTGATGAGTAAAATGATTGAGAAAGCATGCCTATTTGATAATTAGGTTGCAAACATATAGAATTACTGTTGAATATATTTGAGTTGTTGTTTAAAGTGATTGAGAATACTTGATCTAAGTGTATGTGACAAATGTTTTTCAAAAGTATATGATATAGTACTTTACAGGGTTGACTGTTTGAGTGGCGTTATACTTAGCTTCGTGCTAACGGGTTGTTTTCAACTTGCTTGTTTGTTAACCCCTTTCAGGTGGGCCCAGTTCTTGAGAGCGATCGAGTTAGACTAGCTTAGCTTAGAGTGCTAGTTGTAGTCTAAACTCTTTTCAGTTATGTTTGTTGAGACTTGGTCGTAGATCTATTTAGATGTTTTGATGGTGTTGGACACCGGAAGTTTATTCCCCAAGTTTGTTTAAAGTTGCTTAAGCTTGACTTTGTTTAGATCTTTTCCTTGCCTGTGCAATCATCGTGTGTGGTGAATGTGGCGGTGACACCTCTTGTAGTTTGACTGTTAAGCTTTTGATGCGATCTTATTACTGATTAGTATCCTTTTTAAGTTAAGTCTTGTAATTAAAGTTTAAGAAAAGTGGGGTGTTACAGAGAGTACCCACAATTGCACTTAACTGTTGCACCTTCGGGGATGGCAAATTGGTTAAGGAGTTTAATTCTTGATTATTGCACATCAGGTGATGGTAGAAGTTAGGGATTTATATTGAATGCTTGTTCTTTCATTGTTTGGGTGTTAATATCACGGGAGTGAATATTCACTAGGGTATAGAGATTACGGGAGTAATTCTATCCACAGTTTGCATCCTCACACTTGTTAAACCCAGATTTTAATATTGTTCTTAAGATTGGCACTAGGTGATTAAGTACTTGAATCCCAGGAATCTCACTATTTCTCAATTGTTTCCACAAACTTGCATATACTAGTTCTTTTAGTTAGTTTTTGCCATTGCTCAATCATGTCTTTCGTTGGGATTAGCTTCTCGTGAATAAATTATTAGCTAGTGCTTAATACCCCACTTCCTTGTGGACCGATAACCCGATACTCCGGGTATTATTTGTTTGAGAAATATATTGCATTCAAACCCCCTTCTAAACTTTCATCTCTAGCTACAAATTTCGGGACCAACAAGTAGTATCAGAGCGGTTGTTCAAAAAATTGTTTTGAGTAAACTGAATTGATCCAAAAAAAATTTGTAGCGACTGCATTTTCTAAAATTATGGGACAAATTGAGGCTATTTAAGTACACCCACCAATAGACAGTGATGAATGACATGTAAAAATGCATTCTCACAACCAGAACAGTTGAACCTCAGTCCCTAGGAATGAAATATGGTAATTTCACAAATGATTGTACCCAACAAATCAAAGAATTAGCAGACTATGAAAGTAGTAGAGAAATCCAAGAACGGCCACTAATTGGTGAAGAATCTAAAGAAAGTTCAGATTCCAGCTCAACAACTAGCCCAAGCTCATTAGATGAAGAAATACTCATGTATCATATGACCAGACTTGAGGACGAGGAATCCATAACTGGGAGTATATCGAAAAACCCAATAGATCAAGATATCAAACAAAATAAAAATCACGACTTAGTAGGCCAAGATCAAAATACGGATGAGATAATGTCTGAATCCTCTGCCAATAATAACAGCTAATCTGGAAATATTCTTCTTGTATCTTTGAGCAAATTTGGGGAAATTAAAAAAGAACATGAATCCTTAAAGGCAAAGAATCATCAACTACAAGTTGATAACTCTCACTAACTATAAAACTCAACTTCTTACATAAAACAGACGAGAAGTTGTCGCAACTTAAGATGGAAAATCTTAGACTTACAGAGGAATGCAAATTAAGGAAAGAAAGAGAGAATAAGTTGAGAACGCTCATTGGTTCGTATGCAAGTAGCTCCAATACAGTGGATAAAATGATGGTTGTACAAAAACCAATTAGAGACAAAGCCAGGCTAGGTTTTGATTCTCAAAACTCTCTTAATCCTCTCACCGGTGCGCTGATGTTTGTCAAGGAAACAAATAAGCTAAAGGCTAGAGTAGAGAAACATGCATATGTACCAGCTTAGCTGGAACATAGAAGCAATCATGACAGTAGATGCTTAGGTTTTACTAGCAAACCCAAAAATAACCAAGTCAGGGGGAATGCTAGAAACCATGGAGGCCAACGGAAAAGGTGAAAACCTTCCAGTAATAAAGGCACACAAGACAAATAAGTTGAATGATACCAGCAAAGATGGGTTCCAAATAAGTCAAACCAGCTGATTCACAAAGCCAAAAGATCAATTGTGTTTGCCAAGAACAGGTATTCTCGACCACTCTTTACAAGTAAGGCAAGAACTCCAACGATGGGTGCTGGAAGGCTATATCCATCTGATCATTATTGGGCTATGGCTTACCACATGCAAAGACAAAGGAAAATCATAGGAGGTGTCTAAGACCACAACACACTTTTCGGATGCACCAAAAATTTCAAAAACAGCCAAATAATTTTCAAAATGGTGCACCCCAAAACTTTTATGAATTTTCATTTGATTACGATCTTGAATGGGAAAGAAGGATTGCTTGAGAACCTCACAATGAACTAGGGTTATTCTATAAATCCAACAAAACTAATTATCAAGGACCCAAATTTGCTTGGGTTCCAAAATCTTCTATCAACTGATTTACCAGAAGCAGGTAAAGAACATCTTAGAATGAGGATGAATGAGCTATCAAACATCAGTTGTTCATGACAAAAAGAATTCCAAGTGATGTCGCAAATAAGGATATTAACAAGCTGTATCAAAGAGTAATACCAACAAGTGGTGTTAGTTGTGACATGTGGTATCAAGCTTATACGGAACAAGTATAATGTTAAATTAGCATATATACATCCAGCTAACAAAAGTTCAAAACATCAGAACTAGTGTGATTAAGAAGGCATGGATTTCGATAAAAAGATAAACCAGCCTGTTGAGGAAACAAAGAATTTATGTTGTACCCGGATCTAAGGTAACAACAACTGAATTTTTTGAAGCTAACAACTTATCAAGGTTTTGCAGGTTTAAAGGAGACCAAAAGAGAAATTTAAGGACATGCTAGTTCATATGGGGGAATGCTCAATCTTTGATAATGTAAGTGTGAAATTAATACACACCCTTTTTGTTTGACTAATTTATATGACAAAATAAATTAGAAGTTTAATTTAAAAGCACTTGGACCATCCCCTATTTTAGTACAGTGAGTGGAATTAATTCAGAAGGCGTTATGTGGCTGTGGTTTATTCGAGAGTTTTAGAACAGACGAATGTGTGGTATGGTTAATTTGAATGGTGTCTAAAACAGGAAGTGAAGCTATAATGAAGGTATGAATTATTTATGGTTATGGTTAATTTGAATGAATGGCTAGCAGTAATAAGAGTGAAGGATGGCTGAAAGCTACTGCACTATAAAAGGAAACTATTTCATTTATCGAGTTTGGCGAATCTACATGTTATATTGAGAAGGAAATTGCTAAAATCATTTACTACTCTAAATCTGCTAAATACGTTGATTAGTCACAAGAAGCCGACTCAAGTTCTACATCAACACTTGAAGCTGAAATGGCATGCACGTACCAATCCTGATTTGGATGTTAGGAAGGTTGTAGTGATTGTGGTAGCTGATGAACTTTGTAAGCAATCCCCCTGTAACACCTTGGTGAACATCTAGTGGATTGAGCATATGTGGGTTGCCCCGCAGACGTAGGAGAAGTGCTCCGAACTGCGTAGCAATTATTGTGTACTTGATTTATTTTCTGCACCTAATTTTCGTTATTTATTAATGATAAATGACTTAATTAATGGAAATGATTACAACATAATATAAAATCAAGTAGAACCTTAGTACCATCTTGCATTCAAGATTCACAGCAATTTCAATTGGTATCAGAGCCAAGAGACTTAAATTACTAGTCTATCTATCTGGATATCCCGTGCTTCTTAAACTCAAGTTTTCAGCAATTTTTATTGCTTTGTTTATTTTGTTACTTTGTTCAATCTCACGGTTTGTTGAGTGTTTCAGAACGGATCGTGTTAAGGTTCTTTCCCAGTTAACGGGCGACAACAATGTTTATTGGAAAGCACGCACACGAACGCACGTAAAAGCTCAAGGAGAACTTGTTTGGCGTTCTGTTGTGACGGGTTGGACTCATCCGACTAAAGCTAGGATTAGTGCTGACGGTCCACAAGTGACAAAACCTGAAACTGAAATGACCCAAACTGAAATTACTAATGCTGGAAATAACGATAAAACACTAGATACTTTTTACCAACTAATACATGAAAGTTAATTTCCTATAATTGCAGGTTATGATTCAGCTAAAGGTGGGTGGGGAGCTCTTGAGTCAACCTATGAGGGCACGAATTCCGTGAAACAATCAAAGCTACAACTGGTACAGTCTGACTTTGAAGAACTTCGGACGAGTGAAGAAGAGAACATCACAAGCTTCCATAGCCGAGTGCAAGAGTTGGCGAATCATGCAATGGTCCTTGGTGAACCTTTTGCTCAAGCCAAACTGGTTAAGAAAATTTTGAGATCTCTACCGCCAAGATTCAGGATGAAGGTCACAGCCATTCAGGAACATGACGGCTGAGAAAATAAGACTGTTACTCAACAAATGGGAAACCTTCAAACTTATGAAATGGAAATTCTTACTGATCACACCAAAAGAAAAAATTCATAGCTTTTGCAGCTGAAGAAAACAATGTTGCCTCTGACTCAGATGAACCAGGTGATGATACAGTTGTGTTTTTGACTAAACAGTTTTCTAAAATTTTGAAACAGTTTTCACAAAAGAACTACCGAAACGGATCAAGCTCGAGTGCATAAAAAAATGGCTCCAAGTCTGGCTCGTCAAATTACAAGTCTGCCTCTCGTCCAGCTCGTTCCAAAGACAAACCAAACAACAAGGGGATTAGGTGTTACGAGTGTGAAGGCTTTGGTTACGTCCAAGCTGAATGTGCCACTTATCTAAGGCGAGCCCTAACCTAGAGTGACAATGAACCTGAATTGGAAGCAGCTGGATCTGACTAAGAGAAAATATCCGGTAACTTTGTTGCATTCACCACCAGAATTGACGTCTTTTCATAATTTGAAGATGTAGCTGATTCAGAAGGAGGCGAATTTACCTCAGCTGAAGACTTTGATTTACCTGCTTTGTCTTATGAAGTAGAGTTTAATAAATTGTATCCCAAGTGGGAAGCCCTACAAAAAGCTAATCGTACATTGACTAGTGAGATAGGAATATTAGCCAATGCTAGTAAAGTGTACAAAAACCAAGTAGCTGATAGGGATTTACTGCTTAAAGAAGCTTCTGACCGTGAAGAGAAACTGAAGCAGGAAGTAAAGGCGCTGAAGCAGGAACTAAACACCTTTAAAAGGCAAATCCAAATGATGGATACTACCTCGACTCTTGACAAAATACTCGATTCAGGAAGGCAATCCTCTACAAAATTTGGTCTAGGTTTCACTGATGGTAACAACAAAGACAAAACCATCTTTGCCAAGAAGATATTCCTAAGTCAAGTTCAGCGAGACAAAATCACGGTAAAGTATGGGACAATAAACTTAGATATAAATGTTATAACCCTGTTTGTCATTATTGCAGGATTCGAGGCCACATCAGACCTGAATGCTTCTACTTCTACAAAGATCAAATTGTTGAAAAATATATGCACAAGTATATTACACTATTTTCTAAGCAAATTTGGGTTAGGAAAACAGATTTTACGCATCTGCAATTGAAAATAACATGTATGTTAATTTTCTATTTATTTTATTTGTTATTTCTAATAAGGTTATTTTTTTTTCAGGAACAAAATACTTTATCAACCAAGGGATTTTTAAATTGCTTTGACTTCTAACCCTTATAATTTATTTCTCTATCAATTCGGTTCAACTTCGAGTTCATGTAAGCAATTTGTGCTTTCATTATCTGATCATTTAAATGTGCTTAAGATGAATTTTTCCTAATATTATGTGCGTATATTTGTATTTGAACTTGTTTTGGATGTTTTTGTGTGTTCACTAAATATCCTTATTGTTTGATTGAATATTGTGTATCTATTTATCTACTGCAATGATTGATGTCTGAATTTGAAATTATTGATTGTTTTTATGTTATCTGATTTCATTTTCTCTGTGTTATTTGTTTGGTCCGGTCATGACCGTATGTGTTTCTGTGTGTGTGTTTTCCGTGTTATCTGTTATGAATCTCTTTATATGAATTTCTAGCTGAATATGCTTTACCTGAATGTACTTCGTGATTTATTTGCTAAAATGTTTGTTTTGTTTGACCCAATTTGAAAATTTGAAAATTCTTCAATTTTTTAGTGCTTCTGTGTTATTTGCCGAGTTGTTTGCAAGTTGCATGTGCCTTGTTCTAGGTCTCTCGTTTCTATTTAGCTTGTGCAGGTTCAGACAAAGCAAAGAAAATTTTATGGAGTCCCAAGCAAAAGAAAATTTGGCGAAGAAAACAATCACGATGTACAATTTGAGGGGGAGCTCTTTTGGTAATCTCTTATAAATACATACAATGTGTATTTATTGGTCAGTAATATTTTCGGCTGCTTTGGGTTTTTTCTTGATTATATGGATTCTCTTACTGGAGTATGTTTATTTGGATTA